AATGAATGATATGCCAATAACACAAATGAATATAAATATTTTTATTCCAATTCATCATCTCAAGGAATAACACAATTCCTTTCTCAAAGATCCTCAACAATTAGTCATTTCAAGACTATTTCAACTTTTGAATAATAATTTCCAAAATGGACAATAATTCTCATATTCCCTAAAATTATCATTCATATAAATATAAATAAGAAAATTTTCCAAACATCATTTTTTTACACACAAAATAATATAACAATATCATTCAGAGAATTTTCAGTCTCTAAAAAAGACCCCCAAATTCTGGTTTTCTCAACAAAACTATACAACTCAAATCTTTTGAAAGAAAACTTTTCAAAATCATCTTTTCTTCAATCAAGAAGATCAAAATCCATAAGATCATTTTAAAATAATAAGAGACAAACCCACTTTCAAAATGCTCAATTCTTGAAATCAACAAATATTTTCAAAGCTATCGAAAGATGATTTCAAAATCATATAAATCTTGCAAAACATCATATATAACTCTAAAAATCCCTACCTCAAGTTTTGAAGAAGAAATGAGATGAAACCCCAAAATCAACGGTGTCGAAACTCGATCTTCACCGCACACCAAAAGCCCTTGAGAAGTTAACAACTTTGATGAAGAAAACTTATGCAGAACTCTAATGGATCTTGAGAAATCAAGGTTTTGATCCAATTTGGCTAGGGAAATGTAGAGAGAAGGAAAGGAAAGGGTTTTTAGAGAGAGAGAGACTAACAAGAGTGAGATACACTCAACCTAAAGAGAAAAAAGACTAAAATTTTGGACTCACCTACCACCGCACGTGCGGCGCTTCTCCCGCACTTGCACTCCCGCACCTGCATTTATTGCAGTAGCCAAACAAGGGACGCTGCCCTCGAACCCGCCAAAGGGCGCTGCCTCTTGGACCCCCGCGAGCTGACCGGGCAGCTCAATCCTCGACCTGCCCAATCAAAGTGGCAAAACATGAAAAAAGGATCGAAACTGGGATCACTGCAAACCCCCACTTTTTGAAATCTCCCTCTATAAGCAACTCTTTCACTTTTTCTCAATAATACAATATTTTGATTAAACGATGCTGATCACCTCACGCGCACGCAAATGCTACGCCGCCACCATTAACTATATTTTCCTTTCCCGTATTTTCCACTTCACATCATCACGTGCATTTTTGACCCTCGAGCCCCATGCCCATCAATGCCTCTCTTGTTAGTCGGTCTTTTTCACACTCGGCCACCTTCGCGATCAACCAGCCTGACGGTCTTCCGTCATGCTCGACCACCTTTGCGGTCGGCCTGCTTGACGATCTTTCCTCACGCTCGGCCAGTTTCGCGGTCGCCCTGCCTGACGGTCATTCCTTACACTCGGCCAACCTAACAGTCTTCCCTCACACTCGGCCACCTTTGCGGTTGGCTAGCCTGACAGTTATTCCTTACACTAGGCTACCTTCGCGGTTGGTCAGCCTGACGGTCTTTCCTCACACTCAACCACCTTCGCAGTCGGCCAGTCTGACGGTCTTCCCTCACGGTCGGCCACCTTCGCGGTTGGTCAGCTAGCCTGACGGTCATTCCCCACGCTCGACCACCTTTACGGTCGGCCAGCCTGACGGCATTCCATACGTTTGGCCACCTTCGCGGTCAGCCAGCTTGACGGTCTTCCCTCACGCTCGGTCACCTTTGTGGTTGGCCAGCCTCACAGTCATTCTTTATGCTCGGCCACCTTTGCCGTCGGCCATCTTGACGATCAACCACTCTTCCAGAAGCGCCCCCCACCGCTCTTGCCCCTACCCGGCCTTGGGGGACTACCTCTTACACACTCTTATTCCCTTCGTTGGACTAAAGCTGCACTTGGGAATGAGGGACTACTGATACTAGTGGGCACCTAAGAGGGCCCAGCCCACGGATCAGGGCCCAGCTTACAGGCCAAATATTAAAGCCCAGTAACTTTGAGAAATCAATGTTAGGCTAGGACCAATAGCATTCAAACACTTGTCAGGCAAAGGCCTAGCCATGTAAGCAGACAAAAATCCTACAAAGTTATTGCACCACACATCAACCATTTAATGAGACCCCTCAGCATTAAATGCGGTAACCCCTTCCTGTCGGAGGAGGCAGACTCACCATGAACGATGTCAACTAGGCTATAGACTTTCGGCCAACAAGATAGCTTGGAATGGACAAAGAAATGATAAGCAAAGAATATAAGAAAATTTTCGAGATACGTCGAGGTTAAGTTTTTCTATCTCCTTGCTTCTCTCTCTCTCAAGTCAATCTGCTCTCACCTAACTTGATCGTTAGAGTGTCCGTCGGGGAATTATCTCCCCCTTTAGACCTTTTTGTAGGCCCGCTTTGAAGAATCAAAGGCCAGTAGACTCGTTAGAAGCGTGGATCCGTCTGACCTATTCACCATTGGATTTACCGTATTATCAGGTCCCATTACTTTTTTTTACTGGTCTCATGACTTTTTTTTACTAGACTTTAAAGATATAATATTGTTATTTTTCATTTATATAATTAACAAATTATTAATAAAAATGAGGCTAAATATAGGGTCTCATCACCCCCATCAAGTTATAAAAAATTCTTGACAAAAAATTATTTATACTATTAACATTTAATTTAATATAGTTTAATTTTATTGAAAAATTACCCCACCCCATTAAATAGGGAATCATATTTCATTTATCACTAACTATTTGAGAAGTTTAAATCACTTTATTTGGTTAATAATTTTTAAAAATAGTATTTTACTTTTTTATTTTTTGTGTTTTTCTATCTTTAGTAAATTTTTTAAATATTTTAAATAATTTTTTTTATCCTCTTAATGTAAATACATTTAAAAAGTAAAATATTTATGATTTTTTTTAAAAAAATACTAAAATTTAGTATATTTTCAATTTTTTTGCGTGTTTTCATTGATTTTTTAAATAGATTTTTTGACAAATTTTTTATATTTTTTTAAGTACATCTAACTTATGTACACCTAAAAAATAAAAATAAAAAATTTGACTAAATTTTCTCCCTCCCAAAAAAAAAGTCTAAAAACAACAAAAATATGAAAAATAAAAAACTTGAATGGCGTTAAGAACTCAAAATCAAACGCAATGATTATTTGTTTAATTTAACTTTTTTTTCTTATAAAATTTACGGATCTTAAATTTGTAGACCTGTAAAAATTTCTGAAGTGGCTAAGTGTCAAATGTAAAAAGGCCAAAAAAAGAAAAAAGAAAAAAAAGGTGAATATCATTGAACGACGTCGTCACAGTATTTGTGGACCTATATATATCAGAACTGCTTTTGTGTCTGCTCTTGTTCCAGAGCTTCTTCATATCGAATTACCAGAAGCAGGTAACGAAAAACACCTTTACTACTCTAATTATTTTCAATTTCATGAGGAAAATCGCCATTCATTTTGTTATGTTTATAAGCTCCTAATTCACTGTGTCTGTTTTTGCTCTTGGTGCCCTTGTTCATGGAAATTTGGCTTTTATTTTCTTATTTTTTTTTATTGTTTTCTGTCACATAGGACTATTTTGTAGTTGTATTGTTTTTTCTTAACATAAATTTCTGTTTTATGCTTCCTCAATCTTCGTTTGGTTAAGTTAATGAGGTAGATTTTCAAAATGCACTCAATATGTTTGAAGAAAAGACCAATCACAAGTTGGGTTCTCAAAATATTATCATATTAGGACTTCTTTGTTCATGGAAACCTGATTTTATTCTTTCATAGGACTAGAAGTTGTCATTTTTTTTTTTCCCACTTCTATTGTCTTTCCTTAACAAAATATCTGTTTTATGCTTCCTCGATCTTCGTTTGGTTAGGTGGATGAGGTAGATTTTCGAAATGCACTCAAGGTGTTTGAAGAAAAGACTGATCAGAAGTTGGGTTCTCAAAATACTGTCATATTAGGATTTTTCATTTATTGTTAATGGAGAGTATGAAATTGATTCAATATGAGTAGTGTAACTCTTGTTAATAAGGGTTGCTGATGTGAGAGAATATTCACATAGGTGCTCGAGTTTAAGGGGAAAAATAGAATAAAATGGGGGATACATATTTTTTAATGTGTGTTTTATGAACCTGACTGATATGCCAAAAGACCTAGATGCACCGATTGAGATCAATTCTTGTAATTCTTTCAACTGTAGCATACCATCACACTTATGCAATTGTTGTAGGTCTCACTTTATGTAGCTTTCTCCTTGGTGACAAGAAGCATATTTTCACTTTTGGATGTTACCATAATTTGTTGGAAGCTGAGTTTTTCAATTGTAGTTTATGTCTAGCAGCAAACCCATGTGATGCAGCATGAGTTGAATTGTGAAAATGAAATTATTTCTTGAAAAAATTATACACTATTCTGCATATGAAGGTAAGAATTTTGTTTTAGTAGAGTATAAAATTTGGAATTATAAATTAATGAACAATTAGAACATTTTATGTGTTATTTATTGCTAGCATATGGATTTTCAATATCTCATGTTTGAAAGAGAGGAAAGGAGGATAACATACTTTCTTTTTTATATCATTTTCTTCCTAAACATCTTTCTGATTGGGAAATCTAAATTCTTCAGTTTTTGCAGCCCATTCTCTCATTATTCCTTCACAAACTGTGATTGGTAAAAAGGAAGTGAGGAATTGCGCTCGCTCTGTCACAGCATTGTGTTCCGCCCTTTTGTCATCTTTTGGTACAAATATTGGTCTTATAGTTTAGGTTTACTACCTCGAGACAATCAGGTGTTTTCAACATGGGCAAAGCATCAAGGGATAAGAGGGTGAGTTTGTTTGTTTATGTTTGAATTTCTTTTTTACCATTTCTGGGGTTGTCTGATGTTCGACTTCTAATAATGGTTGGATTTGTTCACAGGATATCTACTACCGAAAAGCAAAAGAAGAGGGTTGGCGTGCTCGAAGTGCCTTCAAGCTCCTTCAAATTGATGAAGAATTCAATATATTTGAAGGTACTACACTAATCTTACTAATGTTGATTTATTTCCATCCTTAATATAGCAGGTTGTTAAATTATTAGGGACTGGGGTCTTTTTATAAGTTGGATCAAACATTGTCCGTTCTTTTTTTTTTCTCCAATTGTTTTACATTATGAAGGAATTCCCTGGTGCAGTTTTACTACAAACGGGGACTGATTGTGCTTTATTAAGTTAAAAGTAGTTTCTCAAAGTGATAAATAATGTCTTCCTTTTCTTCCAAGAGAATATTTTATTAAGGATAACAGCAAAATATTTTCACTTAGTGCAAAGTGTAGACTTTAATTTTGTATTTTTCACCAATAGGAAACCACGGAAACTTATTTTCTAATATTTTTTTTTCTGTTATCTATTCATCTATGGTTCCATTTTCTTGGTTATGATTCCATAAGCCTTCTCACCTTTTGCTGTTTGGTTGGTACCAATATTATTTGCAGGAGTGAAGCATGTGGTGGATCTATGTGCAGCGCCTGGTAGCTGGAGTCAGGTAACTGTCATTTCGAGTTTTATTATGGACGGAACTTTTAACCCTTTTTTTTTTATTTTTTTTAATGATGTGTACAATGGTGACGGAGAAATATAGATCACTTCTTTATCATATTTGATTTGCTACCGACTAGTTTGAGCAGATCAAGATTTCATGCTGAAATGTCATAGCTCTAACATGGTTTGATGTTTTGTTTTGTTTCTATACTATTTTACCTGCATGACATGGCAGACATGGGATACGTGCTTGAGCCTGTTCCAAATTCACTGGAAATAGTATACAGATTTGATAATTTCAGTCTTTGACAATCTTCAATAGACAGTTTCGTCTAACTTTTGTACACTTATTGTGTTGAAGACTGGACAGTAATGATTAAAATGCCAATGGTCTATGTTCCCCAGCTTGCCAATAAATCAACAAAAAACTGAAAAACAATGGCTGAAGAGGACAACATATTTACCTTGTGTTCTTTCTGTTTGAGGTAGACATATACACAGCATTTTTGTGCAATCTCTGATACTGCAGATCTTATGTGTAGGTTTTGAGTCGCAAACTGTTTCTGCCTGCAAAGCTGTCACCTGATTCAAAGTGAGTTCCTTTGTTGAAACTGACATTTGTTAATATATATATGTAAAAAAAAAAATAACGCCTAATTAGTACACATTAATGTGTGTTTGGGAGGAGAAAAATTGGATACATACCTAACCTTTAGCATAGTGTATAAAGTGGTTGCCCCGCGACTTGAACCCATTACCTCAAGGTTATTAGGCCAAGGTTTTGCAGTGTCTGCCAGTACTATATATTATTTGCAGTGTCTTCCAGTACTAACCTAGCCCCAGGTACAGCTTTCCATAACAAAGATTCTCAAGTCATTATATTCAGGCTAAATCTTTCTCATTATTGCTGTAACAAAGTTGGTTGCTCAATTCCAATAATTTGCATGACGCATTGAGGAAGGTGTGTGAAATATCAATACAGTGGGTGGATGGATGGAAGTAAAAGAGATTAAACTACATAATTTTGGGTGAAAAATGCAGTCACGTTTGCAATTTTGATTGGCAGAGATGCAGTTACTTCGTACCAGCACCTTGGGTTAATTTATCTTTGACACTATGACATTTGTCCCCCAAGAGTAGGATAATTTAGAGTGGGTGTTTGGGAAGTTGCTATTTTAGTAGGCTAAAATTTGTGTGTTTGAGAAGATGATTGGATTTTTTTGTAGTTAGATGTGATGTTTGTAAGAGAAAAAATGAAATGATTATGGGTTTGATGTGACAGTTTGTCTTATTAGCTATTTTAGCCTATTTTGTCTTTTTGTGGATTTTCGCCTAAAAGAGGCTAAAATTTTTCTTCCCAAACACCCCCAGAATGAGAATATGCTAATTCTACAATTTTCTGCATAAATATAATTTTATTTCCCTCCAAGTTTTCCTCTTCATGGATATAACCCAATGGTCAAGAAGAGCATAAATTTCCTTTTCATCATAATTTGCAGGGAAAGCGATCTTCCTCTTATTGTGGCTATTGATTTGCAGCCAATGGCTCCAATTGAAGGTGTTATTCAAGTACAGGGCGATATTACAAATGCTCGAACAGCTGAAGTGGTGTGAACATCTTTTTCCACTCAAGTTCTTTGGGTTTTTTTTTTTAATTTTTAATTAATTAATTTGTTATTATAGAACAATACAATCTGAAGGAATGGCATTTATGCCTGTTCAAAGCTATAAAATTTAAGCTAAATTTGGTATTTGAGTCTTGCTCTTCATCAGTATAAATTTAGAACTTTTCAGTGGGTTATGGTTGGTGCACTGCTGCTCAACTTGTGTTATTGTTGATAAATCTTCATCCTTGAACACTAATGATGATGCCTTTTTAGATTGGGAATACATCATTCAGGTTGAATGAGCTGTAAGTACTAAGAGTGTTACATGGAGTTTGGCTTGACATTGTTGGGAAAAGACATCATAGCCAATGAAATAATGGAAGATATGGTACTGGATGCTAAAATGGGGAAAATATAAACTTTTCTGATTGACCGTGACCAATTGTGTAGATTTTGTATGTTTTGAGTTGGATTATCAATGCTATTTTGTAGTTTTCCCATTCAATTGTTTGTTGTTGGATTGATCAGTTGGTATTTTGGCCATGATATCACTACTATGGCTCCAATGCTTTGATGATAAGTGCTTGATAGAACTCTCACTAAGTTTCATGGTTGCCATGCATCCCTCCCTACTAAATGGTGTTACATTGACTTTATCATATGTCAACATGCTTGTGTTTTTACTCCATGAATGATTGGTTTCCCCCACAACCCCTTTTTCCCCAGCCCTTTATTGTTGTAAATTGAGATTGGTCCTTACATATGAATGTTACATATATTCAAGTCACTTGATATCTCGGACAAAAGATCACTTTATGGTCCTTTGTTTTATTTTTTCTTCCCCCCACTTGATTTTTTTAGTAGTAAATGTTCAGTATATAGCCATCCAATAGTTTTATTCTTCTTCTTTTTGTTTTTTTTTTCAGGTCATTAGACATTTTGATGGATGCAAAGCTGACCTGGTTGTCTGCGATGGTGCTCCTGATGGTTAGGCAAACAAATATGATTTCAACTTCATGTTTTGTTAAGTGCGCTCCCTTGTTAACTTTGATCTGTATATTTTCTGAGTTGGCTCTTTCCATGTTCATTTGCAGTTACCGGACTCCATGACATGGATGAATTTGTACAGTCGCAACTCATTTTGGCTGTGAGTGTGTAGAGTCCTTTCTAAACTACTTAATGCTTCTCTAGGATAATTTTTACTATGGTTAGTTTTGGGTGGATATTACCTCCTAAAGCAGTAGCAAGACGTAACACAGACACATTTGATTGATTTCCCACATGGAAATTAATTTATAGTTGTGTGAAAATGAGGAATAATGACAGTCACAAGTCTTATAGACTTTATACTATTTCTGCGATGAAATTTCAGTGTGGACTGCCAACAGTGCATAGTCTCCCATCACTTCATTGCTGCAGCTGTATGTCCATGTTCCCTGGCAAAATGAACAGACTGATTTAAATTTGGTAGCACTTGGGCAAAGACCTTTGGCAGTTAGGGCTATAGTTAAGTTACCCATTGTTCTGCCAACTAAAGCTTTTAGATGAGTTGGTGGTCAACAATTTAACAAAAATCAAAAGGGGGAATATGGAAGAAATATCATAAATGAATCTCCCTCTTAGCTTGGTGTGGATTTTGGTTTCTGAGTTTCCAAGTTGCCTATGTCCTGTTTGAGTTGTGAAAGCAAGGATTTCTGTTAGGTTCTCGTTTGTTTCTCCTAAATTTTGTTTTGATCAGCACTTTTGTTTCTTTTACATTTTCTCCTACACTGGTCTTCATTTTTTGACTGACTTGTTGCTTGTTACGAAAATACAAAGGATCATAAAGGAAACTACAGGCTGTGTTTGGAACGATTTCCAAACTATGATTCTACCCCCACATCCCAATATGATGTTTGGATAGGATGTGCAAATTGCATTTCCACAACATTTAGAAAACTCTGCAAAAAACTCTGTGTGAGACGCGATTTTCAATTTTATTTTTTTTTTCAAATTTGGCCTAACCAGACGTCCAACCGGTTGACCAAAACAGTGGAATTTTTTATTTTTTTTTGCAATTGACATATGTTAATTTTTATATATTCGAAAAAATTATTTTCCGAACTTTTAAAATTTTTTTATGTGCTTTAATAGAATTTTGAGTTGTATGTTTGGTTATAAGCTGTAAGTTTTTATATCAAATATCATGTCACATTAAAAATTCCCCACTCAATTCAAACTCTTTTACCAAACAAATTTTTCACACTCAAATCATAATTCAAAAACTCACAAACTCAAAATATAACTCCTACTCTCAAATCATATTTAGAAAGCTCCACCAAACGCAACCACAATTTTTTATGACCAATATGTTTATTCCATACACCCTTATCTTGTCATTATTATAAATAGGGGTTCGTGAATGCCTACTGTATGATTAACAAGAAAGTTCTAGATTTGATTTTAGTATCCAGAAATTTGTGAATCTTGTTCAATTTTTTGTTGCAATTGATATCGTTGTAAACTTTCTTGTAGGGTTTAACAATAGTTACTCACATACTTAAGAAAGGTGGAAAGTTTATTGCAAAGATATTCCGGGGAAAAGATACAAGCCTCCTTTACTGTCAGGTAAGTTAAATACTTGCTAAAGCTCTCCATTTTTTTTGGAATTAATTTCATCAGGCTTAATGCAGTTTTGTTACAAGATTTGAAGTTTTCTTCATGTTCCTTTTGTCCATATGTCAATTTAGCCTTTTCTTCAGCATGGATTCCTGGCCTTGCTAGGTAGTGATGGATAAATGTTCTTTGAATAAAGAAGAAAATGAGCAAGAAAACTGAACTTATTTTATTACAATCAAGTGGTGCATGTTGGAGACTTCTCAGCATTTGAACATTAGTACCAGAACTATAGTATATATATTTCCTACTGTCTTTCCCCATCATCTATGTTGTGAGTACACATGGTGAGCCAAAACTTTATTTTGAGTTAACAATACAAGTTCAACACTATATTACTTCAGGGCATAAACTTTTGCAACTTTATAATGTCTTTGGTCTTTTTGCTGACTTTTAAAAAAAAAATCTCCACGTAGAACGGTTTTTATTTTCTGGCTGAGGCTTACATGCAACTAGCCAATGTGATAGGTTGAGTGATTCCTACATAGACCCACTATTTGGAGAGTTGGGCACCACGACTGCTTTAATTCTAAAATGCTGTATATTCCCCTACTTCAATAGTTACAGTGTTTGCAGGCCTTTGGTAATGACATAATTGGTTTTGTCTAGTTGGCAAAAATCAACGAATTTCCAGTCCTTGTTTTTTGTTCGGTATTTTCTCTGTCTTAGGTTATACATGTTCTTTCTGCATCACAAGCTTGTCTCTATTGAGTTAAGTTGTTAATGCCAATTAAAACGGTTTACTCATATTTTTAAATGGTCGTACTAAACATCATGGAACTGCTGGAAATAAATTTAGCTTTCAGGGTTATTTGTTGATAATTTATTAAATGATTGCTTGCATTGTGTTTAGGTCATTTGTAGTTCATGGAATCAGTAATTTTTATTATTTCTTTTGCAGCTAAAACTATTTTTCACAGATGTGACTTTCGCAAAACCAAAAAGCAGCCGTAATTCAAGCATAGGTGAGTAGCTAGTGTTCTTTGTTTCCAACTTTCTGTTGTAATATGAGTTATTTTCATATGCTTGATAATCTAGTTCGGAAATTCTCTCAATTTGGAAATTGTCAGTTGTATTTCCATCTTAAACATAGCTTTGTGGTGGGGGGAGGAAATCTTAGTGTGTATTCAGGTGGTGCATATATGTCTCATAAAATTCAGTGGCTCAGTTCATTCTTCAGTTTTGAATATGCAAAACAAAAATAAAGTCATTGCAAACTTCGCAATTGTTCCAGGAAATAATGACTAAATCATATAATTTCTTGTGCTCGTCTTTGGAAAGAATCAAGTAAAATGAACTAAAATCTAGAGAAAGTGGAGTTTTGGCAGGGTAAAATGTAAAAAGTGCACCATAATGCTCTTAGAAATGTTCTTTTACATGATGAATTGAAATGAAATAAACAATATTTTATTGAATGTCTAATTGTTAAAAAAAATTGGTACTAGTACCTAAATTCCAATAGCATAACCTATGGAAGTCTACTCCTATTGTACCACATTTTATAGCATGTGGCATACTACATTTCCATTCACATTCCACGTACTAGAATGATCCATGTTTCAGGTAACCATCCTTGTGATGAAGTAATCCACTGTCACTTTTTAAGAACTGTATCTTATCAAACAACCTTACTGGGATTTTTGAATTCGTTATTGGGGAGTTGACCATCTGTAGATACCATTGACTATAACTAGTAAGAGATCGTGGATGATAGCTCTAAGTTGTTAAGAGCCTAGCTTTATCTACTCTCTCCTAAATAAAGACAAACAAAAGTCTTTGCATTTCGTCGACTTCCAAAACATGAACGTTTGTCACTGGTGTGAGAGGGCAGCTCCTTTTCCCTTTTACCTTTGCCCCTCCATTTTCCTAAATGCAAAGTACAAACATGCAAAAGAATGTTATGAAATAGATTTTTACCTGCGTACCATGGTGAAAGTGTCTCAAGAGGACTTCATCGTGTGGTCCTCCATATGGGCTTGATATTATATTTTACATGGCATTGAGTCTCTTTGGTTATCATAACATTTCAGATGAATCTAATCCCCCAACCTTGATGCTCAGTGCATTGTTTGTTTGCTTAATGGTGTTTCTGTCTCATTGCCTTCTGTCGGAAACCAATTTTCCAGTGAGGTTTTGATGCTTTCACCATATTTGGTACAAAGTTGAGAACTCATTCAAAAGTATTACTAACCAAATTCCATCTGAAAGAAAATAGTTTCTCCTCAATTGCTATGGTGGCTAATCAGTATGCTGTTTATGATACAGAGGCCTTTGCAGTTTGTGAGAATTATTCCCCTCCAGAAGGATTTAATGAGAAAGATTTGCATCGGCTCCTAGAAAAGGTTGGAAGTCCATCCGGTGGAGATGATCTAGGTAATTTTTGTACATTACTTTTATTTTAGCACAGATTTTTGTATCTTTTGATTGTTAGATCTCACCTTCGAAATAATGAATAAGTAAGCTAGACAATTATAAGATGCACATGTCCGAATTAGATATGCCGTGTCACTTTTTTTGTCTTCAATCAGTGAATCCCAACTCTTACCCCGTAAAGCTTAGCCATATACAGTTTTTATTGTGGAACTACAAACTCTTGATCTCCTATATGGTCCTCCTTTTTTTCCTTTTCAGGATGATTTCCCAACTTTTGCAGATGACTATTTTTAAAAACCAGATCCTTCAATTGCAAACACAATATGATTTGACCCCCTTAAGTTGTTAAGTTACTTGTAAAAGTTAATTTGATTAGAAGCTCATGATTAGATAAGACTTCACTATTTGGACATATATGTATCTATGTAACTTTGCGAGAGGGAGGAAGTATGCATCAATGAAATGAAAATTATCAAAAAATAAGTTTAGTTTTATTGGAAGTATTATTTGATTGATATGTCTATGAAAGGTTTAAGAGAAGTTACCCCACCGTATATTTGTGTTGACTGAGATAAGGAAATGTAATGATGTGCTTTGATGGTGTACATCTTTTTACCAAGTTTTTGCTTTACATTTGTGCTCTGTTTGTTTGGATATAAAATATTTTCCTCTAATGTATTTGTGTGTACACATAATTGGGTAAAAGAAAAAGTAAACTATTTTTTGTGTAAAAAATTATATGAAAATTATTTTTGGTGTAGAATACTTACATTGAAACAAACGGAACATAGATCCCAATATTATTGCAAATTTTTTTTTTGTTTTATCTTCCTCTAATGAATTACTTGTGTGACAGATTGCAGTAGTGGGTGGCTAGAAGGGCCAAACAAGGTGTATATCCCATTTCTGGCTTGTGGGGACCTCAGTGGATATGACTCGGACCGTTCGTATCCCCTTCCTAAAGTTGCAGAAGGAACTTACCAAAGCTTGGATCCAATACAGCCACCAATCGCTCCTCCTTACAAGAGAGCTCTTGAAATGAAGAAAGCTTCGAATCATGGAATCGGAGATTTTGACAAGCTTTCCCTTGACCCATGATTGGAATGGTTAGAATTGAAATAATATCAACTGCACTTTTTTGTTATTAAGAAAGAACATGGGTTGGTGGGACCAAGGGACCAAGACTGGAGTGACGACCCTGGATTATTATACTAGTTTCGTTCATTGTATCTTGTTAAATTGGCAATGGTGATTTTTCAATGAAGGAAGAATTCAGGGTATGCTTGAGACATCAGGATTCAGGAAGATGTGGGGGGTCCTTTTGATGGTATTGTAGGTGAAATACTGAGGAAATGAGTATTGGATTGATTTTAGGTTTTTGATGGTTTCTCAATTTTGTTTGCTATGGTTAAAATGTTACGAGAGTAAGAATACAGCAGCCTCGGGTTTGTTTTAGGTTGCAGAAAAGTTACGAGAGTAAGAATAAGCAATTTTGTCACTTGATTGGATTATTGCATTGGATGATTGTGGATCTTTGAGGCTGGCTTTATTTTGTTTGCTTTAATGAAAATGTTAATGGCACAGGAATAGAGGAATGTGAATCTCTATTTGGTTTTGAATTTTTAAGTTTAGTTTTTTATTTTTCTTAATTTGATGTCTTTTAGTGAATTTTTTTTTAATTTTATATTTTATTCTTTTTACTATTATTTTTTGGGAGACTTATTTATAAGTCTTTTTTTCAGACACTTATGTTAGGCTAAATCCTGTGTGATTTCTTATAGAGTCTCAAGTCTTATTTAGATATGAATGTATTTCACAAGATCCTACATAAACGTAACGTGACGTGATATTTACATAAACGTAACGTAACGTGACACCTACACAAACGCGACGTGATACTTACATAAACGTAACATAACGTGTCACGTTACGTTTTGCAAACTTAATGAGTTTTTATTTTTTTAAATTGAATGTGAAAATGTTGCTGGTTTATATTGGTGTCACGTCACGTTTTATATAAATATGATTTATGGTAATGAAAAGACGCGTTATTTTTTTGGTACGTTTCATATAAATACATTTCATAGGTGTCACGTTACGTTACGTTTATGTAAATATGATCTATGGTAAACATTCAATTTCCTAATGTTATCATAAATCATAGGTGTTACGTTACGTTTATGTAGGTGTCACGTTATGTTTCGTTTATGTAGATATGATCTATGGGGAAATTGCATGTTACCATAGATCATAGGTGTCACGTTACGTTTATGTAGGTGTCACGTTACGTTACGTTTATGTAAATATGATCTATGGGGAAATTGCATGTTACCATAGATCATAGGTGTCACGTTACGTTTATGTAGGTGTCACGTTACGTATAGGTGTCATGTTACGTTACGTTTATATAAATATGATCTATGGTAACATTCAATTTCCTACATATGATTTTACTATTATTTATGATATTAACAACTAATATTGAGGGTAAATGTGTTAACAAATTTCTCACAGGACTTATGGGAACATAAATTTCTTAGTAAGACCATATGTAACGTAAGTCTCTCTAATAGGACTTATGAATAATTTTTTCATAATTTTTTATGATGATTTTTTGTATATGTCACTAAAAATTAATAATTAGTGACTTTTTGTTTGTTATGATTTTTATAAATTGTTGTTAAAATTTACAATTAGTGATATTTTTTTGTGATAAATTTTTTAAACTGCCGTTGAAAGTTTAAAATTAGTAACTTTTTTTGTGACGATATTTTTAAACTTTCGTTAAAACTTATAATTAGTGATATATTTTGTGACAATTTCAAATTATCATTGAAAATTAACAATTAGTGATTTTTTTTTTAATAATATTTGATAAAAAAATGTTATTAATTTTCATAGGATTTATTAAATAATTATCCCACCTATTAGGACGCACATGTAAATCACCTAATAAAAAATTCAAAAACTATATCCGAGAACTTATTCCATTGTTTGGAATGAAATTAATAGCAAATGATTTTTTTATTATCTACACAAGCTTAAATTAATTTTTCCCATACTAAACACTTTCTGTAATAATTTTAAGTTGGGCATTGATTTAAATCCTTTAAAACATCCACCCCCACAACTCCCTCACACACATGGAGGTTGGGGATTGAGTGAGAAGAAAAAAAGAAAAAGAAAAAGAAAAAAAAAAATTGACCAATCAAAACTAAAGGGGGTCAAGGGGTGACCCCAAAAGGGTCTCAACCTTTATTGTTTTAAGTTTACTATAATTTTTGCCGCATTTTGCATGTTATTTGTGAAACATATGATTTTATTATTTTATTAACATATTATCAATTTACATGAATTTTTAAGTTTTGTAAGATATTGTTAATATGACTTGTTTTAAGGGCATTGATTTAGACCCCCTTAAAACACTCACCCCCACAACCCCCTCACACACATGGAGGTTGGGGATTGAGTGAGAAGAAAAAAAGAAAAAAAAAAAGTTGACCAATCAAAACTAAAAGGGGTAAGGGGGTGACCCCCAAAGGGGGTCTCAACCTTTATTCTTTTTCCCTCTTTGATGATTATTGGTCAAAGATTCAGTAAAAGAATTTTTTTAAAAATATATATATTCAGTTAAAGAAGATACCAAGACCACATAGGGAATGGGTGCCTGCTTGTGGGTGGGTGGGCGCGGGTCGGTTGCGGCCACGAAACCTCCAATCCGCCATCCATCCGCCAGATTGGCGGATTGGAGAAAATCAATCCGCATCCGTCCGCCAATCTGGCGGATGGGGATTGAGCGGATTGACGGTTTGGCGGATGGATGCGAATCGGTTTGGCGGTTTAAGATTTTATAAATGTTCAATATAATTCAACTTGTGCACTTCCTCAAAAAAAAAGAAAGTATTACAGTCAATGACTTAAAAAATTATTATAATCACTGTATATCTCATCCAAAAAAAGAAAGTTTGAAACTTTAAAATATCATAATCACTGCATGGCTTATCCACATATTACAATCACAGCATGATTCATCCACATAAAGTATTACAATTGTGGTTCTTAAAATATAATAACAATTCAAACCACCAAAACTATGAATAAGGCAGTAGTAGAGATTGTATGTCTCTGTATTGTTACATCTATATATGTTTTTGAAAACAAAAACTAACCATCATATATCATATTTTCTATTTATTATTTTTAGAGTTAAATTTAAAAATCAAAAAATATAGATAAATAATACGTTTATTTTTTTGGCGACGTCGGCCGGGCGGAGCTACGACAATCGGCGAAGCTGCGACGATCGGACGATCGGCCGGAATGCAGGGGCCTCTGTGTGTGTGTGTCTCCATTCCCTTTTCTCTCTTCTCTTCCTCGCTCTCCCTCTCCCTCTCCCTCTTCCCCCTGCGTTTGACTCGAAAATGGTTGAAAATGGCAGGGGAAAAAAAAAAAAAAGCCTAATAAAAAAAAAACCTAATGCCCAAAACGACGTCGTTTTGGGCATTAGAGGGATTAGGGGAGGCAAGTTTCGAGCTCTCATACATTTTCCAGTGTAAATGGTGGCGGTGACTTCTTTGAGAAGTCCATGGAGCGAGAAATTTTTGTACATTAAGAGTGTCACTAATCACAAATATGTGTATATATATATATTTTATATTATCTCTCAAACACATATTATAAATATAATAAATCTTATCATCAAATTTAATCGCAATGGAAACATATATTTACCCTCTTTAACATCCAAAAATTCCTCCTATAGAGATGTCCATTTTATGGAAAAAAAAATTCACTCTCATATATCATTTATTAATGTTGACTCTCACACCAATGTGACATTAATAATTTCTCCATTTTATAAATTCAACGATGGTGATGTGACGAAAGAAATTTTACCTATAAAAACAAATTACAGTGAGTTTTCTTCTTGGGAAAATGCCTCATAAAACAACACTTCAATCCCAACATTGACTAAGGAAACACACAACCTAGGATTCTTTGATTAAAATCATTATATATATTTTTTAATCCTGAAATACTAATTATGAATTTTTTATTGACTTATTTTTATTTTTAATGAATTTTTATTTTAGCTTTAGTTTTCTGATTTTACTCGACGAGACGAATGGCAAAATTAAAAAATTTTGAAAAACATTTTAGAAAAGACAAAAATAAGTAAAAAATGAGGAGATTGACCAATAAGTCCCATATTTTGGACTTGTAATCCATATTGAGAGGGTAATTTAGAAGTAAATTGGACTGAGCTGAGTAATAGGCCATTCGATGGGCCACGGTAGAAAAGGGCTTGGCAAGTGGACTGTAGTAAGTAGCGCGGTCCAAGTGGAATGACAGTTACCACGGTCGGAGTGGAGTTAGTTCGGTCATAGTGTTTGAAGCCAAGGTATGATGGCGTCACACGGTGGACCTCGCTTTGGTTAGCATGGTCGTAGCAGGCCGTAGATTAGCCCGGTTTCAACAGGCTACCGAGGTACAACTGAACGAGAGCCAAGCTAGCTTGGCATTTTGCATTGGAGCACCAAGCTTGGATAGCTTGGTCTTAAGTTAATAGCCCGGTTGGAGTATGCATAACCAGGGTACATTCACTAAAGGGAAGATCTGAGCTGGGTTAGCTCGGTCGTACTGCCATCCAACCGGGGTAAAACCATCTTACTTTGTTTAAGCAGTGAGGGGGGTGTTGAAGGATAAGCATTATCCTTCAGGAGTGTGATTCCTAGGAGGACTCTGTATGGAGGGATAAGAGTCCTATTAGGATTATGCCACGCGGAACCTATAAAAACTCATAACATCACCTATGAAGAAGTAACATAACTTTGATTCTCGAATACACAGAGCTTTTGTCTATTTGTCTATTTTGCTGACTTAGGCATCGGAGAGGTATCCGGCACATACCCGACGGCTAGCTCACGTTTGTGTTTTCAGGGAGTAAAGCGACGATGTTAGGAGGAGCGCGGACTTGATGAACAGGATTATACGAGAAGAATATTTCTTGCTCGTACAATTGGCGCCGTCTGTGAGAATTACAGAAAGAGCAAAACCTCTTGATCAAAGTTTTCCTCGCTAGATTAGACGCAATGGCGCATAATGAAGATTTTCCGCAGTCCGCCATTGATGGACAAACCCTAGAGGGAGGTGGGAGGCGCGAAGGTTTGCCTTTCATCCCTCCCATGGCAGATTTAGAGCCCCAGCGACAGAACCCCTGGAGGGATGCAAGGGGGAGGCGGGGTAACAGCCCCCGTCGCTCATCAAGTCCTAATAGGCAGAGGCGAAGGATCGATCCTCAAGTTCTGGAGGATCGCGTAAAGGAACAAGACGAGTTAATAAGGAAGATGGCGTCAGACATGGAGGCTATGAAACGCCAGATCAAAGGAAAATGGGTGGCAACAGGAGAGGGGCACAAAAGCAACATGCCCCCTTGTCACTTAAAATATTGTGGTAGGCATACCACGCAATCGCAAGCAGAGAGTAGAAGCCTCAGGACAGGCGACACTCAATCAAGGACTTCCAGGACTTGTTACTCCAGGTTTGAGAGAATGAGAACATTGAAGTCTTACACTGAGGGAAGCACCTATTAGCCCTTACGTA